AAAAAAAACAGAAAAAAATAAAGTAAGGCTAGAATAATGCTACAGAGATAAAAATACAAATAGTGGTTAAGAAAGAAAAGACCACCGTGAAAATTTAAGAGGCCAGGGAACCTTGTGGCGATCTGCCAGTGGCTTATTGAGGCTAGGTACTCTGCAGATGCATTTTGGGCTCCCACTGAACTCCATGGCCTTCTACAAATTGGGTGTTAGAGTCCCTCTTTCTTAAGGGTCTGGACACCTGCTTTGGTTGTGTAATAATGAAACAGGCCCTTATCTCCTTTGGCCTCTCTCTTCTCGGTTCTGACCTTGGCCAAGGTCACCTAACCCCATTGCTAGCATAGAGCATGTGATGTTTCATTTCCTTTCATCTCTTCCCTTCTTCCCTCTCTAGCCTCATTTCAAGACCAAAGTCAGAGCCCCGCCCGGGCCCCTTCCCACCAACTTCATCCTTAGCAGGCCCACTCTCCTCCCCTCCCCTTCCCTCCACACTCCTTCCCTCCACACTCCTCCCCTCCACACTCCTCCCCTCCACACTCCTCCCCTCCCCTCCACACTCCTCTCCTCCCACACTCCTCTCCTCCCACACTCTGTGGCATCCTCTAGGGCAGGGGTGGAGTGGGGAACGTTTCTCTACCAAGGACCATTTGGATAATCATTCTCGGGCCATAGGAAATGATCCAAACTTCGTCTGCTACATTTGGTGCAACACCGAATGAACAGTTTACCCCCTAATGTGATGTCTGTGATGGCTCCTCTTTGGTGAGGCCTGCATTGTGAACTGGGATGGATGGGGTTGGGGGCCTCAGACAGCTCTCTAGGGGCTGGTGACCTACAGGAGGAAGTTGCAAGCCGAGCCTGCAGAACACAGCCCCAGCCAGTTGGGGCTGCGCCATTACTCCATTCACTTCCTCTCACATCACACGTGCCCTGTGTCACTTGTTCCCTAGTCTAATAGGGGTTCCCTTCACCCCCAAGTGTCTGCGCTCACACAGCCCCCCCCCCCTTACCCAGAAGCCTGCCCTCTTTGCAGCCAGAGCCCATAGGGCTCCCTCACAGCCCTCGCTGCTCCTGGGTTCGTGTCAAGGCCGTGCTTTACCACGGCTGCTCACAACAGTGGCAGAGCACGGTGGGGCTTCTGGATCAACATGGGGTCCCCTTACTAAGCATGCTTTGTCAGGATCCCCAGGTGTCAGGGCTGCCTTGGCATTCTACCCAGTCTCCTCCCTCCCCCTTTATTCTTCTAGATTTTTCTCTCAGGCAAGCGCCGTCTAATCGCAACTTGGCATTCATCTCAGGATTCCCAGGGACACAGCCCTTTACCATGGCCTACTCTGACTCATACCAGATAAGATCAAGCCCTACACATGTTCGTGGTGGAGAGTAAGTGGGGCATAAATCAAAACCCTGCCAACCTTGCTGCCGTCAAGCCTACTCGAACTCAGTGGGACCTGTAAGACAGAGGAACTGCCCCCCACCTTTTCCCCCCTGGTTTCTGAGACTAAAAGATGATGGGACAGTGTACAGTGAACCCTCATTTATCGCGGTTAATTGGTTCTAGACCCTACCGTGATAAATGAAATTCCGCGAAGTAGGATTCCTTATATCCAA